CTGATCCCATCCGTGAAGGATGTCATTCCTGATTTACAGTACCCCGGGGTTTACAAATTGAGTTATACCTGCGGTGATTGCTATATCGGTGAGACAAAGCGACATGTCTCTGACCGAATTCGCGAGCACAAATCAGATTTGAAACACGGCAAAACGAATTCTTCTGCCGTGGCTGATCACTGTTACAACGCTGTGGGGGATCACGATATAATTTTCTCCGATACCAAGGTTCTTTGCAAACCCACGGGCTTTTATCAGAGATTTGTTCATGAAGCAATTCAGATCTACAAACACAGACACAATTTCAACCGAGAGGATGGTTTCAAATTGAGCAACCATTGGAAAGATGTTCTAAATCGAACTAAACATTACACTAATTTCAATGGTACAGTATATTTTTCAAGTAGTGGTACCCCAAACTTTCGCAGCTCTTATAAATTCCCTTTTCACACCATCAATAGGTAAACTCCCCCTCCCCCCTTCCCCCCCCCCCCCCCCGCGCCAAACGGCAAGTCCACCGGCACGTACACCACCTCTTTCCTAAAATCCGCCAATCAAATGCTAATTTTTATGCTAATTTTTTTTGTCAGAACACCTTGTTTGCTCGCACACAGCTTAAAGGTCCGCTGTCTGAGCGTGGTTGTGTTTCGCTAAATTCTCCTGTTTGATGAGTACTAGGTGCCTCGGTGAATGTATATGCTCTAACTTTAACATAGCTATTTCTGTGACCAGTTACAAGCTAATCACTCAGATATTTCAATGCTAACTTCTATGCTAATTCCTTTGTCAAGGGGTACCTCTGCGGATGTGTATACTTTAACTTAGCTATTTCAATTAGCCATTTCAATGCTAAATTATATGCTAATTCCTTTGTCAAGGTGCTTGGTGTTTTTCTTCTCACACAGCTTAAAGGTCATGATCTAAGCGTGGCTTCTTCCACTCCAGCGCTGTCCTCCAGACAGTCTCGTCCCTTCACCTGATGAAGGCCGCTTGTGTTGTGGCCGAAATGTCGTGATATTTTGTTATTTTATTTTCACCTACGTGACTTTACCCAATAGAACCAAAGAGTATGGATCCTAGCAGTCACGAAAGCTTTAAATCTAGAATAGCTAGTGTATTATATGCGCGAATACTAAAGCTGGAACGATTCGATTACCAAGTCGATTATAACCGATTCCTTGTGTATGGTCAATTACTCAGACCCCTTTAAAAATGACAGCCATCCCCACATCTTACTTCCTGTGACGCGGCTGATGTGATCAAGTCCCTCCCATCAGGTGGGACAACCACAGCAAGAAAAAACTGCTGAAGTAGGCGAGAGATCTGCCGTGGCACGAGGTTATATAGGCCTCGGCAGTAGGGGGGAGAGAGAAGGGGGGGGGGGGAAGGAGGCGGGGCAGAAAGTGGACCCCGCAGCAGCACCCGGGTCACTGGAGTAAAGTGGGCCACCACTCATTGATCCGTACATTTAACTCGATGAGTCGATTCGATTCCGTGCCCCGTTGGGTCCTCCCCACTTTTGTGCTTTTGGGTGTGCTGGGTTTCAACATAATTCCCGATCCATTGTGAATCTTCCCTCCCCCCATTTCAGCACTCCGATCTACATCCGACAGGAGATGATAAACCAACAGGGAGGGGGAGTAAAACCTAATCGCCAGGTAATTGGAAAAGTCGCCCATTGTCTCGCGGATTTGCATGATTGTACGATGGATGGGGCAGAGGAACGTGCTACAGGGACACGCCCTGAGGAATGCAGGCATCGGCCTTTGGATGAAAAACTTTTATTTTTCAGTAATTCAGTGGGCAGTGCTCTCACTGGCAGCTCATTCTCAATTAATGTGGGTGATTCACCACGTGTTTGTGCCACATTTTGTATCTGAGTTGAGTCCATTTTTGTTTCCTTTCCTGTTTCTCTACTCCCTCCTGGTATAGCCGGGTGGGGGTATCGAAGGGGGAATGGGCAGATTGTGTTTAACCTTGAGTTTGTCGTGGCATGGGGTGCTGGTATGATTCCGCTCTTGGCTTCCACACCCTGAAATTCCAATAATTACCTGTCTTTGTGCGCTGTGGTTGCCTTGGATTGGTGTGCCACTCTCTCGCTGGATTGTTACCTTGCCATCTCTGCGTGTAATTATGTTGGTAGTTCGTGGGTGCTTGCTCCTCTCTGAAAAAAAATTCCGCAGACTACCTACTGGATCTCCTCTCTGTTTCAAAGAACAAATTTGACCTCAGGTCTTCGCTCATTTACAAGCTTCACATTCCCTATTGCCGTACAAAAACTGGAGGAAGGGCCTTTGCTATTGATGCCCCCAGGGTCTGGAATGCTATTGCCAATAAACTGCAACTTGAATCACTACCTATGAGATCTTCACTCAAAACTGCTCTAGAGGAGTTGTACAACCCTAGCTGCCACTGCTATTCAGTGGCCTAAAATATGGCTCTAGATTTTGGTGTTATAATTTATTTATGTAGTTTATTGTTAAAAATTCGGTCACAGTCCCTATGATCACTGTTACATTGGATTTATGGCTTTTATTTTGGTGATTTCGAAAAGTTTTTTTGTTTTGGCCATGTTTTTGTTTTTTGTAGTACAGAGTTAGACTGATGGCTTTAATCTTAGTTGTCTTGTGGTTGTTGTTATTTGACTTGCATCCCACTGGGATTTTTGCACACAGCGTTGGTGTGCGGTGCTATTTCAGGAATATTTTGATATTTTTTTCCTGTATTTTCTGTTTGCACAGTCACATAATCACTTTAAGATGTTTTCTTGTTCATGTTTTTTGTTTGTTGCGGTTGCACCCGATTCAAGAGCGAATGGCTCACAGGGCTATACCAAATAAATGAACTATGAACTAACTAACTAACTCTGTATTGTGGGGCTTGGTGTGAGGTGCTGTAGCTGCTCACGTGATTTTTACTTCCCTCTAGATGGCGGGGTGCATTATCTCTCTCCCTGTGTTTTGTCCGAATGATATATATATAGCCATGCCGTGTGAACCCTATTCTGTATGTGGTGTAAGGAGGCCGTCTCTGGGTCCAAAACCATTCCCACAATTTCTGTAATCTCTGGACTCAAGGATTAAAAAAACAATCTTGAACATTTTGTCACCTTCGTGGTATTGATCAACATCACCTGCGTAATACACTCCTCATTTACGCACTGGGTCATAAATTTGGCAGCATTAAACCCCTCAGTGTTGAATATTCTCCAAACTTCGTAATCACTGTTAGGCTGAGTTTTTTTAAATAATTCCTAACCTTGTATGGCAGCGACTTTACCCATGGTATAGAATATTCATGTAACCTTCTTTTCAGCACTTGTTTTCTCGTCCAACTTCCTCAGACCTCTGATCATTGCCTCCACTTCTACTGTTGTGATATGAGTGTGTATGTCTCTGTTCCTATTGTGTGGATCAAAATAGGGGATTCTGACGAGAGCTTTCTCCGTCAATTTAAGAGTCTTACTACTGAATGAGTATTCGGAAAGTTGGTCGTTGTGAGAGGAGTCAGTGTCAGATGAGCTATCACTCAAACTTTGCCGCTGCTTAACATAACTTCTGTAATGTATTTTGCGTCTGTGTTGTGGGTATGAACGTAGAGCGAGACTTCTCTTGGAGGCAATGCGTTTATTACAATAAACGATAACAACACCAATAGCCGTAACACGACTGGTGTCTGTTAAAAACACTGCTGCAGTCAATCACAGTTGGTTTTGAGTGATTACATTGGGGTGGGGGGGGGGATGGCAAGTGATGGGTGATGGGAGGAGACCAGGGACGCAACGTGACCGTCCATGTACGAGGATAAGAGTTGCCATCTGTGACGTACACAACCTGGGGACACATCATGGGAAGAAGGATCTCTCAAAACCCGAAGAGGGGAGAACTACATGGAAACGCATTGTCTTGAGCAATGAATTAGCACAAGGGGACGAACAGGGGTTGGAGTCATGTTCTTCGTATGGTCGACGTTTATGTAGAGCAACAACTATATTGGATTGAGGTGGTTGAGCCAGATCATTGTGTAAGAAGTAGAGTTGGTGCATCGCTGTGATGATGCCTCCGAATTTGTGAATTGGACATTGAGTTTTCATATATTCCATAGTCTATTCAGGCTTGGAGTTAGGGATAGGGCTACAGATTTGCTGCAGAAATATTTTTCAGAGCGTCAGTGTTTGGCACTACATGTAGGGCAGTTCCACATATTAGGCAAACATCACAATTTCAGCATCATCTTAATTTTATATATTTATATGGGATATAATATAGAAGGTAATTATTGCTTTAGAAATGACATTATTCACACAGATGATTTCTATCTGAATCTCTTGGTTGAAATACTTTGCCCAAGGTAAGATAACTGTGCGATTATGGTAATGAGTATCCACGTCCGTCTGAGACCGTGGAACTGCCCTCCAGCACTGCCGCTCACATCAGGGGACGTAGGAACGACTATGGTTGCTGGCTTCACCGTGGCCAACTAGTTTATTGATGGGCATCTCCTCCTTGCCATCCTCCTAAATTTCCACCACCATCACCACCTCCACAACCTTGTGCTTGTCGCCCCCAACTCAAGCTCAGTGCAAACCCCTTGGAGGGCTGGCATTACCCAAGGGACACAGAACTCTGCCTCACATTTGGTTTCTAGAAGCTCCGCAACAGCCACACTGTGGATGTAGACAGCCCTTAGCGTTATAAATGTGAGCCACTCGCGTGTCCCAAACACTCAAAAGAATTGAGACGAGGCGATAGTATTAGATACAAATATTTATTATTAAAACGCGACGCCTTGTAAGGAAGGGGAGGTGCTGGTGGGGGTGGGTGGTGCTGGAAGTGTGGGGGGCTGTGAGATGCTCAGAGGGTGTTCGAGGCCTGCGGGGGCAGGTCTTGGGAGGCTTCTTGAATGCCGGGCTCCAGTGAGCAGCCAGAGATGTCCTCTTCCTCCTCAACCGTGACAAGCTGTGGACATACTGACCCATTAGACACTACACACAACTCAGTACTTCTACCAGCTCAACTGGGATTACACACAACAATCAGCACCCCCTACTGGCAGACAAATGCCAATTGCACACCAGGTGCTGAGTCACCTTGTGCCCACAGGGACATCTGTCATTGGGGGTGCCCTTTCACACGTGTTGAGATGAGATGTGATGTAAAGCGCTCTGAGATGCCCCGGTGTACAGAAAGGTGCTAAATCATTCTCATCGTTATTACTGTGTCCAGCAATAATGGAATTGTCTATAGATAGATAATCTGTATTTGTAAACGGGGACCATGACGGCTTAACGTGATGGTTAGACCAGCTCATCATAATCATAATACACTGAATCGTGTGTGCATGAATCTATTATTTACGTTAAACGCAAATTATATACGTGTGTGTGTGTGCGATGCGCGAGTGCTGTGCACTCACCTCCACCTCGCTCTGCAGACGCTGCTGCTCTGAGTGTTCACTCTGCTCGTTGTCGCGGTAGGGCGCCAGCTCAGCGTGCAGCTCCGCCACTACACGTTGATACCACTGAATCTCTGCCTGCAGAGATTCCAGTTGCCAATTCCTGTCAATGAGCTGCGTGGGCCACGGGCAAATGGCGGCAGAGGGACACAGGAAAGAATTTTAACGACTGCGTGAGGTTATTGCAGAACATACAGGTATAATAACACACACACAACCAGGATCTTCATTTATAATTGAGTAATGTAATGAGCTACGAAGCTCTTTTACACAGATGTCCATATACCACCTTTGACCAAATAAACCGAAATGCATCCAATCATCTCAGATCTTGGAAGAAAAGCATGGTTGAACTTCAAGTGCTTGGATGGGCAACCACCATCAATACAAACCAAGATAACACCTATAAAAGCATGATGAAGACCAATTGTGTTGCAATCGAAACGTCGTGGGTTTTTGATATTATTAAAAAAAAAAGTAAGTGACTTTACCGAAAGAATCAAGAATATGAATTCCTGCAGTCACGAAAGTTTTATGTTAAACATTTTTTAGGAATTAATTAACCCAAAATCTGGATTAAAATAATAGATTAAGATCGCTTCCCAACCAAAAAGAGGGAGGGGATGGAGATGCATGTAGCAGAGGGGAGCAGATGGTCTAGTAGTCGTAGGTACTTCTACTAGAGGTGGGATGGTGGATCGTAACGTGGTACAGTCCCTAAACAGAGATTGCTCAGTAACCTAGTGCGCATCCATTCTGTACAACCATCAGTGTGAAAAATAAGTGTATACATAGTCCTCGACTTAGGAACACCATACTTACGGAGACCCGACTTACGGATACCCGACTTCCGAATCTGTTTCTATGAAATGTATTAATTTTTGGATACCATTGACTTTAAAACGCGAACTTGCACTTCCAAACTGAACCGCAGAACTATTTTGTTCAGTGCTGCGATCCTCCACGAGATGTCATGAGTCAGCCTCGTGCACGCGCACATGTGCGTATATGTGAAAGTGATTGTGTGGGGAGCGGTAGTGTTGCAGTTCACGCGCTGCGCTACAAACCCACCGACCCAAGTTCAATTCCAACTCACGGCCAACACCAGTGACGATTATCTGAACCATTCCTGGGCCTCCCGTAGGTCAACTCGGCCTCAAATGAGCACCTAGCGCGCTGTATAAACATCACCACTCGGGACACAAATGCAGCTGGGTGTGGTGCTGGCACACAACCCCTCGCATGCCGTGCTGGCTTTCATAGGCTATCGCTAACAGCACGTGCCCCAACAGCCTATTAAAGCTACACGGTGGATCTTTGTGCGGATCGGAAGTGTAGCGGTGAGCACGCTTGTGATTTGAAAGCGGTGAGTGAAAATAAAAAATATTTTTACTACATTTTATGTATTACTTACGATACACTATAATTTTAGTGTTAATGCAAATGTACATGATTTCTTATTTACGAGTTTAACAATGCTTGACTCTTTTGTTGAACCTTAACACATTTTATAACACTGACAATATGGGAATTTAAATATCGCACATTATTGTATTCCGACTTACGAACCGTTCCGACTTATGAATGGGCCTCAGGAACTAAATGCGTTCGTAAGTCGAGGACTGCCATATTATTGATACATTTGTCTATTATACTATGTGTATTATTAGTTGTTTATCATGTAAAATTAGTTTACACTTGAAAAATATTCACCATAAATCCGGTATGTGGGGAAAAAATATTGATAGAGTATGTGTAGTGGCATAGCGCTGGCTGCTGGTAAAAAAGGGTAACTGCGGTGTATGGTAGTACCCACGTCAGCAGGCCACGATAGACACGAGAGGGGGACATCTAGGGGAAAGGTCACAGAGGGGGGCCATCGGGAACCCGCTAGTAGGTTCCAGAGAGGGGGCGTGGCCGTGGCGGAGCGAGGCCACGCTGAGAGTATAAGAAGGGCCCCTGTGAGGGACCTTGTGGCTGTTGCTGGAAGTGGGATCCTCGTCGTGCTGTTCGTATATATAGATAGTCGTCGTCACCATCTCGTCATCGTCGTCTCGTCGCTGTCGTCTTGTCGCCATCGTCGCTGCCGTCTTCACTCGATATTACGCTGCTAGATAGGTGTTCGCTGTCTCCGTTCAGTGCTGTCAGTGTTAGATGGTTAGTGTTGTGTATAGGCAAGCAACGGTAATAGTGTGTACCCACGTAGGGTGTCTGTATTATCCCAATGGTGCTCGTTAAATAAAAGAAGCGCCTAAAAGTCTTACTGTCTCTGAGTTAGTCACTACACATGTACACATGAAAGTGACTACTGTAGTCAGAGATGCAAACGCTTGGGCGTCATCTGGTGCCTTACTGTCGCCATCCAGCGTAAACTATTTGGGTCTTTATAGTAAAGTTCGTAAATCTCAAGTACGCTATGGCAAGGTACCACAGTACATAACATGTGATTGGCTATCAATGACTTGAGTACGTTAATAGTGAAAGTACGTACAACGGGAGGGCGTAAATAATGGTATTACTGTATATATGTGCGTTTGTGCCATGCCGGACTTCATAGGTGCTCGCTAACAGCACTTGCTCACCTTCGCCTCACTCTGCTGGTGCAGCACTTGCAGATCCTGGAGCTGACAGTGAATGCTCTGCAGGTTTTCTTGGCATGGCGCCAGCTCAGCGTGCAGCTCTGCCACCACACGCTGGTAACCCAAAATCCCCACCTGCAGGGATCCCAGGTGCTCATTCTTTTCGATGAGCTGCATGGGCCACGGACAAACGGCAGCAGAAGGACATGGCTAAGCATTTTAACGACTGCGTGCAGTTGTTAAAGAACATACAAATCCAACAAACACATACAGAACCAGTATCTTTATTTTAAATGAAGGAATCTGATAAGCTATGAAACTCTTTTTCACAGATGTCCATACACCACACCACCTATGACCAAATGACCCGGAATGCACCCAATATTATAAGATCTTGGAAGAAAAGCAGGGTTGAACTTTGATGGTACTTGGATGGGTGACCACCATCCATACAACCCAAGATAACACCTATAAAAGCCCAGATATATGGATTAATTAACCCAAAAGCTACTTTAAAATGTCCGATTATAATTGCTTCCCAACCAAAAATAGGGAGGGGATGGAGATGCACGTAGCAGAGGGGAGCAGATGTTCTAGTAGTAGTAGGTACTTTTACTAGAGGTGGGATGGTGGATTGTAATGTGGTACAGTCCCTAAACAGAGGATGCTCAGTAACCCAGTGCGCATATACACATCTGTGTGAAAAATAAGTGTATATATAGGCAGTCCTCAACTTACAAACACCTGCACTTACGAACCTGCTTCCATCAAATATATATTTTATAACATTGACTTTAAACGCGAACTCGCACTTGAAAATTGAACCGCGTCACTATTTTGTTCAGTGGAGCAATCCTCCGCGACATGTAATAATTCAGGATGGCGCTTGGAGCAAGTGTTTGCCTATAAGTGTGTGTGTGTGCACGCGCACGTGTCTATGTGTATGAAAGTGAATGTGTGGGGAGCGGTAGTGTAGCGATTAGCCTTCGAAAGCGGCGACCCGAGTTCGATTCCCGTTCATGGCCAACACCAGTGACGATTATGTGAACCGGTCCTGGGCGTCCCCTAGATCGACCCAGCCTCAAATGAGTACCTGGTGCGATGTGTAAACACCACCACTGGAGAGACAAAGGCAGCGAGGCATGGTGCTGGCCAATCACCCCCTTGTGTGCCATGCCGGCCTTCATAGGTGCTGCTCACTAACAGTACTTTCCCCAACAGTCTATTAAGGCTATACGGGGAGTCTTTGTCTGCGACGTGCGAATGCAGTGTACTCACCTCCGCCTCGCTCTGCTGGCGCAGCATGTCCAAATGCTGCAGCTGTGAGCGTGCGATCTGTGCGTTTCCGCGGTACTGCTCCAGCTCTGTGTGCAGCTCGGCCAGCATACGCTGATACCAAAGAATCCCCGCATGCAGGGATCCCAGCTCCTGGCTCCTTTCGAACAGCTGCTTGGGCCACAGGCAGAGGGACAGAGAAAAGCATTTTAACGACTGTGTGCGGTTATTGTAGAACATACAGATGCAACAACAGACACATTTAGAACCAGAATCTTTATTCATATTGGAGGAGTCTGATGAGCTGTGAAAATATTTTTCACAGATGTCCATACACCATGTTTGACCAAATCACCCAGGATGCACCCAATCTTGTCAGACCATCATGCACACAACCCATGATTACGCCTATAAAAGCCCACATATATGGATTAAGTAACCCAAAATCTGCAGTAAAAGGTCAGATTAAAATCGCTTCCCAAACCAGGACAGGGAGGGCATGGACATGCACGTAGCAGAGGGGAGCAGATGGTCAGACCCTACACAGCCTGACGACTCAAGTGCTGTGTCACGGTCAGACCTGGGCCGTTCCGGGGCCAGGAGAGCCTGGGTTCTCAGCGGCCGTGGGAACGAGGCTGGGAGCATTACCTGACGCAGAGTGTCCTCATTCTCAGCTTGGGACGTGGTCAGCTGATCCTGCAGCGCCGACAGTCCCTGTTGGGGGGTGGAGAGCTCCGGCTGGGCACTGGCGCGCTCCGCCTCACTCGCTGCGAGCTCCTCCTTGCTCGCCTTGAGCTCCTCCCTCAGCCGAGTGATTGTGTCCTCGTCCTCCTGAGCCTTAATACAGGCAACGTTCGTTTTACCATCGTAATCATCACCATCATCATCATGAACAGCCATGATCCGTCCACCGCTGAATGTGTTTTTGTGATACTGCTGGATGAAAGTTTCCCTGAGCCATACCGGTCATGGGAATTAATTGATCATACTTCATCACACTGGTCAGCACGAAGTGGTACACCCAAGACTGGGTCAGATTTCACTGGCCACCAATGCTAGCCATGGTTGGTAATCAAACTCGGACAGCTTGGTTCAGAGTGCAGAAGGCTCATCACAGTAAATTAATACGTTGTATATCATCATAAATATTTCGCCGCACAAGGGTCTCCTCCTCTTGTGAACGCTGCCACAAATGTCTTAAAACTCAAACTTTAATTATCTTTATTTTACCAGCTAAGGCCTACTGAACTATATAGCTCTTTTTCAGAAGCGACCTGCCCAC